TCAGACTCAGAGGGGAATAGTGATCTTTGTCTATTCACTGATGTGTCCCAAGTGTCTAAAATAGTGTCTGGCACAGGTAGACAAATGACATGTGAATGATAAAATTTACTTATAGTAGGTGACAAAAATCCCATATAAACAGTGACTGAGGAAACTAAGTCTTGGCACAACCATGAGTCAAGAATTCTGAGTGTGATCCCTGTACTCAAGGAGTTTTTTAAGGGAAGTTGATAAGAATGTTTGTCTCCTGGTTAGTGCTATTGGCTGATAGATGTTTCTAGATGCCCCTGGATCCCTGGGAGAAAAAAAACCATAATAACAACCACGTTGAATTTCTCCCCAGATTAGTAGGACAGAAGACTTAGAATTAACTTTAATTTGATATAGAAGCAATAAGGTGATGCAAATTTTCTTGCCTAAGTTTGTAGAATAAGATCTATACCTGTTAGGCAGCAAAATATTTGTTACTTACAATACTGCACTGATTTTTTAAGTGAATCAGTTATCAGGAAGTGTCTTCCCCCCCCCCCCCCCCGATATCTTGCCAGGCATTTTTGAAGAACATTCAAGAACATATTTGTATTCACAAAAATGAAATCATATTTTGTATTTTATTACATAACTTTTCACTTAATTCATCAGACTTAATGGAAAAGAATGTAAAAAGGAATGTGTACATATGTATAACTGAATCACTTTGCTGTAACAGCAGTAACTAGCACAATATTGTAAATTACCCATGCATGCGTGCTAAGTCGTTTCAGTCATGTCCACCTCTTTGTGACCCTATGGACTATAGCAGTCCAGGCTCCTCTGTCTATGGCAAGAATACTAGGGTGGGTTTCCTTACCCTTCTCCCAGGGATGGAACCTGTGTCTCTGATGTCTGCAGCAGTGGTAGGAGGGTTCTTTACCACTAGCGCCACCTGGGAAACCTGATTTAAAAAATATAATTAATCAGACTTACCTCAAACTTTTATTTATTTATTTATTTTTTAAAAAAACTTTTAATTTTGTATTGGGGTACAGCCAATTAACAGCTGTGATAGTTTTAGGTGAACAGTGAAGGGACTCAGCCATACATATACATGTATACACCCCTCCATTGGGAGGGGTCTTGATTTGGTTACAAGGTATTTATGGGAAGGTGGGGGCACAGAGGGACAGGTGGAATCCAGGAGACACAGAAGAGCTGCACCATGGAGAAGCGAGGCTCTCAAGTCAGAGATGGAGAGAGATGGGGGAGTTAAAAGGGAACTTTGATAGTTTTACAGCAGATGGAGATTTTAAAAACTAATTTTGCATTATTGTTTGTGTGACAACTGAGGCCCTGTGCCCAGGGAGGGCTCCCATACTCCCAGGGAAAGTCAAAGCAACCTCCAAATGTCTGTTCCAACACGTTTCCTCTGCAGGAGAGAGCAAGTGAGCCTAGGTCTGTCTAGAACGTTCTTGGATCCTGCGGGGGAAAACATCCTGGGCATCTCTATATCCAAGAAAACTTCAGTGGTGTCTATAGTACTATTTGTTAAAAGTTGGTGCAATTGGATTTGCTTGGGGAGATTTGGCAGAATGGTGAGATATTTAGTCTGTCTGTCAATTGCTGCTTTACAGATCATCCCACATGGTGGCCAAAAACAACAACACTCATTCAATCCTAAATCTGGAGGTTGAACTTCACTAGGCAGTTCTTGCTTGAGGTCGTGTATGTGGTTTCATGCACAGGGAACTGAAACGGGTGGAGCAGTCTGGGCATCTCCCTCGCTGTATGGCCTCCCCCCGTGTGGTCTCAACAGTCAGACTTCTTTCTGCAGGACACCCAGAGTCAACGTCCTCGGAGAACCATGGCCCAGTGGAAGCTTGTGACCTCGGCTGAGAGGTCACGTGATGCTACATGATGGGAGCAGGCACAGAAGCCCACCCTTATTCTCAGCAAAGGACAGAGACTCTACATCTTGCTAAGGGAGTGGTAAGGTTCTGGAAGAGACTGTGGGATAGAAATATACTGTGGTCATTTTGGGGAGAAATACAATCTGCTACATGGCTTTAAGGTGAGCAAGGCATTGGGCAACTGCAAAAGTCTTGCAAGGGTAGCCAACCACATCTGTGGGACATGAGTAAGCGCCACAGTTTCCAGGGAGGTGAAGCAGCTGGAGGTCTTTGCGCATTTCTCTCCCTCCATGCATTCTGTCCCTGGTGGCCTCTGCACAGCCACACTTCACACGTGGCAGCTGAAGGCATCCAGAGTAAGTGCTTGCTTTCTCTACTGTCCCTTGGAGGCCACTGCCTTGTCACAGACAATGTGGGACGTGGCTCAGTTTCTAGCTGTCCTGGAGCAGAGCTCATTACTTTGACAGGATGAGTCGTGAGAGGAATTACTTACGTTGTTTTACATCCTGGCACTGATATTAGTTTCCAGCAACTATCTGCCTCCTGCAGTCTTCTGAGATAGACCTGAGACTTAGCAGAGGGAGAGTGGTGGGAACTTTAGGTTGAGCGCAATCATCTGATAATCCCTTCCCTTTTTTCTCCCCCCCTCCTCCTCCCCGCCCTCCCTTCCTCCCTGCCTCCTTCTTCTCCTCTTCCCCCTCCATCTCCATCCTTCCTTCTTTCCCTCTTTTCTTCTTCACTCCCTTCCCTCTTCAGATGCACAGAACTAAGTTGATCATATTCTGTTTACAGCCTCTCTGGTTTTATTCAATTTTATTATTTTTCCTTTTTATCCCTTATCCTTGCTTCTATTTCTCTCATTCTCATGGGCATCTGTCTTAGAGGATATAATTCACGTTCTTCCATCCTATTTAGATATTGTATATCCTTGGAAAATATATTATTTTGGAGCATGAATGTTTTCAATTTAAATCAACTGGCAGTGATTTTTCTTTTTTCACACAGCACCATGTTTTGGAGTGCTATACATGTTGCTATTTGTAAAACTAGTGCATTATTTGAAGCTGTTTTATACTATTTTATTTTATGTATCTAAAACATCTCTACCTGTTCATTTCTGTCATGCAGGACATTTACATTACCTTTAGGTCTTTTCTGCCACTTATCATGCCGTGATGAACATCCCTGCACATATTCCATCTGGAAGAACTCTGTTGGAGTCTATGATCGGGATAAGATTACACGGTCTCAGATTATACCCATTCATAATTTCACCAAATACTTCCAGATTACTTTCCAATATCACTGCACCAATTTTTCAAGTCTACTAACATTTTTTCCAGCACTTGATGTTAGATATTCTAGTTGTTGATAATCTGGTGGTTAAAAACCACTTAACTCTTGGTTATGTTAATTTCCATTTATTAGATTACCAACACAGTTAAGCATTGACTTCCTCTTCTGAAATTGACTTTTCATAACTCTTGACAATCTTTTCTCCTCTGGAGTGTTTGTGTCTTTTTATTGGTGATATAAAGGAATCAGTCCTGAATATACATTGGAAGGACTGATGCTGAAGCTGAAACTCCAATACTTTGGCCACCTGATGCGAAGAACTGACTCCTTGGAAAAGACCCTGATGCTGGGAAAGATTGAAGACAGGAGGAGAAGGGGATGATTGAGGATGAGATGGTTGGATGGCATCACCGACTTGATGGACATGAGTGTGAGCAAGCTCCGGGAGTTGGGAATGGACAGGGAAGCCTGGCGAGCTGCAGTCCATGGGGTTTCAAAGAGTCGGACATGACTGAGCGACTGAACTGAACCACTGAAAGAAGGAATTCCTTATCTGTAGGTGTTAATCTTTGGTTAGTTTTAGGCATTACAAATGTTTTCTCCATTTGGCTGCCAGCACTATAAAACCTTTAAACCCAGCCTCAACTCTATTGCGAAAGGGTAATACTCTGAAATAAGAGATAGGCCTAGTTGCATTAGTTGAGGATAAATTTTGTAACAAAAGTTGATTCCTTGCCTGTAAACTTAGTATCACATCTATATTTTAGCAACTTGGAAATCCTGGCAGGAAGCAGTGAACTTGTGACAATACATAGATAGAGTTCTTTTTACCCAACAGAAATGCTTTTGTAAGATGTGCAAATCAAAATTTGTTAATTGAAAATTTCACAAACAATTAATTATGCACTTATATCTTTGTGGCATTTTTGCAGCACATACTAAAACAGGACAGTTTGAATTGTGAAAGGACAGCCAGAGTGAAAATTTTGGGAAAGTAAATAAAAACCTCCTGCATGTTCATCTTCATGGTCTGGAATTATGCTTTTATTTTTATTGCATAGAAAGAGACACATTCTTTGAAGACTTTTCCAGGACTGTCTCCCAGACAAATTTTAACCCCCAAAGAGCTTCTACATGACAATTAGAAAGACATATACAGATACATACAAAGGAGACTGTGTAGCTGTCTTTCCAAAAGACAAATCATTTCAGAGCAAGAAAGAGCAAAATTAAGTCCATTTTCCCATTCCTATATCAAAGACTGTAAGATTTTGGCAACAAAAATAATTCTATTGTCTCAATACCTGAGTCACTATTTTACTTAAGCCCTTATCTACTAATTTTCCATGTAGGTGTCCAATGTATACTATAATTCAGTGGTTCTCAAATTTTGCTGCATATTAGAGTCACTGGGAAACTCTTAATATACTCAGCACTCAGGTCTTACCCAACACTAACTGAGGCAGAATGCCTCAAGGTGGCATTTAAAAACGCCTCAGAGATTCCTAAGTTCAGCAGAGTTTGGAAATCATTACCATGCTCTCTGAGAGCCTAGGGCTTTATCAAGACTCATGTTAATGTCCAGGAATGGTTTCTGCCCTGCCCTGGACGCCACGTGGGAATGAAATTTGCTGAAACTGGAATTCAAGGCTTAAGGTTTGAGATGGTGAGATTTTTATTATTTTTGCCACATCATATCTCTGCCTGAAACTTTCTGCAACTTACTTCTTCATTAATGAAGTGGAGATAACAACTACTTCACAGGTTTGTAGTCAGGACTGATGAAAATTTGGAAAATAACTAGACTCAGGACTTTAATAAGTGTTTTGAAAAGTCACTGCTCCTTTAATGAGGACACAAACAGGACCTGCCTTCCTCAACTGTCCCTCTGAAAGTAACTTCTCTTCCTGAAGGCAGCCGAGCACACTCCCTTCCTACAGGCGCCTCCCTTTCTGCTCCTTCCACTTGGACCTGCCCACACTCAGCTGGCTCCCTACCAGTTATTGTCTGGGAACAGTGAGACACAAAGGACTTTCTGAGTTCCATGATCACAAGGATATGTTGTCTATGAGAGCTACAGCAAAAACCAAAGGTGAGAGGGTCTAGCACAAAACCAAGTAAGATCGACAGAAGGAGAGGTTGGGAAGGAATTGGGAGGAAAGGATCAGTAGACAGTGCTAAAAAAGCATATGGAATTGTGTAGGATCAAGGTTAAGACAATTATGGGAGAGAAAGTTGTTTAGTAATAGGAATAAAACAATCAGATATGGGGTACTTTTAATAGCTTCTGTGTGTTCTGCTTTGTATTAAGCACTCTGATGGATTCAGGAGAAACAGGTGATGAGATACCAACTATTAAGAAGCTATGGAGACCACCACCACCACCACCAAAACCCAGGAATAATTAGAGAACTGATCAATGCCAGCCTGAGAGCTAAAATGATCAGAAAGGGCTTTCTTGGGGAGCTGTACCTCTAGCTGAACATTGCAGGGTTAGCATGGTTTTTATTATCAGAGAGAAGGCTATTAAAATATCAAAGGCCAGGGGAGAAAGTCCCTGAGTCAGGAAGATCCCTGGAGTAGAAAATGGCAACCTATTTCAGTATTCTTGTCTGGAAAATTCCATGGACAGAGAAGCCTGGTGGGCTACAGTCCATGGGGTCGCAAAGAGTTGAACATGACTGAGCAGGCACGCACAGGGGAGAAAGTCAGTGAATGGGGCTGGTGGAATCTGATCACTCTCCAATATTTGCTGTCTTCTCTTCCTTTATAGGAATTAAGCCAAAACACGTGAAGGATCTCATACCCCTGATGATACTAATGGTGATAATCTTCTTGCTGCTTCTATTCTGGGAAAATGAGCTGGATGAGGATGCAGTGGCAGCAACTTTAGAGCAGTTGCATGTGGATTACCCTCAGAGTGACATTCCGATGAGGTACTGCAACCACATGATCATACAAAGAGTCATCAAGGAACCCAACAACACCTGCAAAAAAGACCATTTCTTCATCCATGAGAGGCCTCGAAATATCAACGGTGTTTGCAATTCTCCCAGGAGGGTGCCTTGCCAAAACCACAGCCCCGGTCTCTGCTTCCTGAGTGAAATTGAGTTCAAAATGACAGTCTGTAAGCTCATTGAAGGCACCAGATATCCTGCCTGCAACTACCGCGTTTTCACCACAGAGGGGTTTATTGTTGTCACTTGTGATGACATGAGGCCATCTAAAATCCAGAGATACACTGAATAATCTGAGACTAGCATCAGAGTCTGCCGTCCTCTCATCTCCTCTCTCAGAAGCACTGCTGCTGGTTTTCCTGCACGCTGTGGACATGGGGCCATGCCCAGAGTGAAATGCATTTATCCTTCCACTATTGCTGAGCTGGAATCTTTTTATTCTGCTTCAATAAAAAAAAATCTACTGAATTAAACCATAAACTCTATATGTGTTTTAATTCCTTCTCCTTTTTCTGTGGGTCATTTGATGAGAACCAAGAGTGAATCCTATGCAGGCCTGAAATTAGGTAAGGGAAGTAAGGTACTCATCTGACACCCAAAATTTGAGGAACACCAAAATCCCCAGAGTCATAGAGTCAAATAAAATTTTAAGGATCAATATAAAAATTTCTGATGAACAAAATATCTGAATTTTAAATTAAGACCCATTCTGACAGGGTTGGATTTAGGATGAGGTGGGGTGCATGAGTTTTAACAGTGTAGAGTCAGATACTGTTACTTAAAATTTTGATATTTGTTCAGCAGGGTTTATTTTGCATTAAATTTATTTCTTTGTTTCTTTGTTTTTATTAGAGTATAGTTGATTTACAATGTTGTGGTCCTTTCTGCGGTATAGAAAAGTGACTCAGTTATACATATATTCTTTTCTATTAAGGTTTATCCTAGGATATTGAATATCATTCCCTATACCATAGGAGAGTCCCTTGGACTGCAAGGAGATCAAACCAGTCAATCCTAAAGGAAATTAGTCTTGAATATTCATTGGAAGTCTGATGCTGAAGCTGAAGCGCCAATCCTTTGGCCACCTGATGCAAAGAACTGACTCCTTGGAAAAGACCCTGAGTCTGGGAAAGATTGAAGGCAGGAGGAGAAGGGGATGACAGAGGATGAGATGGTTGGATGGCATCACTGACTCAATGGACATGAGTGTGAGCAAGCTCCGGGAGTTGGGAATGGACAGGGAAGCCTGGCGTGCTGCAGTCCATGGAGTCACAGAGACCTGGACATGAGAGAGCAACTGGACTGATACTGTAGGACCTTGTTGTTATCCATTCTAAATATATATAATAGCTTGCAGCTGCTAACCTCATACTCCCAATCCATCCCTTCCTTGTCCCCTCCCTCTGGCAACCACAAGTTTGTTCTCTATGTCTGTGAGTCTGTTTCTGATTCATGTGTGCGTGCTCAATCGCTTCAGTTGTTTTGGGCTCTTTGTGACCCTAAGGACTGTAACTCACCAGGCTCCTCTGTCCATGGGATTCTCCAGGTAAGAAAAGGTAGCGGGTTGCCATGCCCTCCTCCAGGGGATCTTCCCGACCCAGGGATCGAACCCTTGTCCCTTACATCTCCTGCATTGGCAGATGGATTCCTTACCACTGTCGCCACCTGTGAAGCTCATTTCTGTTTCATAGATAGGTTCTTTTGTGTCATATGCATTAAATTTATTTTTAAATGTTGCAATAAAATACTGTTTATCTTGATTATCGGGCTTTTAACAGTTTGTACCTGCAGAATGAGTACTTCATTCATCTCACATTCATCCTAGACTTTATCCTAAATGTAGAGGGAGTAGGGGTCATCTCTTAAGGTCTTCTTTAAGGATGACATATATAACTCAAGCTGTACCTGCTCTTATTCAATGGCTGCCTCTGTGCCTTGAAAGAAAGTAAAAGGAGATCAGAAGAAGCCTTATTGGTCAGAAACCATTTCCCTTAAAGTCTAGAAAGAAATGGATAAAGATTTCCCAGGGAGGGATCAAGACTCTCAGGGTTCCGTCTATTTCCTCTTTGTGTCCCCAGAAGGAACAGAGATTACTTTGACTCAGACTAATCATTCTTTCCCTTTTTAGTTCTTACAACTGGATTGTTGTTTAGCTCCTCCTCATTTGCTATGGACAGAGGGTCTTTAAAATGAGAGGACAAAGGAAGAGAAGGAAGGGAAATAGAGACGCCTAATTCTGGGGATTTGATTACGTTCTGTTCCTCTATATCAGTTTCCTCATCTGTAAAGTGAAGAGATCGAACTAGATAATCTTTGAGCTTCTTTCCAGGTCTATTCGGAGAAGGCAATGGCACCCCACTCCAGTACTCTTGCCTGGAAAATCCCATGGACCGAGGAGCCTGGTGGGCTGCAGTTCTTGGGGTTTCGAAGAGTCAGACATGACTGAGTGACTTCACTTTCACTTTTCACTTTCATGCACTGGAGAAGGAAATGGCAACCCTCTCCAGTGTTCTTGCCTGGAGAATCCCAGGGACGGCGGAGCCTGGTGGGCTGCTGTCTATGGGGTCGCACAGGGTCGGACATGACTGAAGCGACTTAGCAGCAGCAGCAGCAACCAGATCTATTACTCCACAATTCTATTTCTTAGGGAATCTAGAATCTTTTTGGAGTTGTCAGAGATAGGGAGTAGTAAGAAAAAAGGGGTAATAGGCAAGTAAGGGCCAGGTTATAGGGTCACTAAATCTGAGCTATGACAGTTTAATCCTGTGAGAGCCAGACACTCATACACTGAGCTAAAGCAGACACAGGCAATGCGTAAGCTTTAGAGGGCCTGGTCTGTTCTTATCTTTTCAGTTGAGAGACTTCAAACTATTCCATTATTTATTTGTACTTAATTCAAGGTCAGATCAACCTATGCTAGTTGGTAACTCTGTCATTGTTAAACATCAAGTTCTAACAGACTGGTGACATCTTTGGAGGAAAGGGTGTGACAATCATTTGTAAAGAACACTTGGCAACCTTGTAAGTAGAGGCTTACCTCTCTGGGGTAGCCCTTTTGCAGCTGAGTTCCATTACTCATTTCTCTGCAAGTAATGAATCTCATGGTCCTTGTTTTTATGAAAGCATGGGTGTCACCAGGGAAGCAGAGCCCCCATTGTCAGAACAGATGCTGAGAGGGAATAGCTGGCCCCTACCGTGTGACAGGTTGGGTCCTGGTAGCAGAATCATTTCCTGGGAAAATGTAGCTGAAATGGGGTTTTGCTTTTTGCTTTTTTGAAATGCTTTAAGCCTATGTTTCTATGTTCTGATTTCTGATTCCTTTTTCTCCCTCTCTCCCTAGGCTTAATTGTCCTTTCTTCCCTTCTCAGTACTTTTCCTTCCCTTTCTTCCCTAACCTCCTTCTTTGTATTTAAAACCAAAATCTTGCAGATAATGCATTCTCATTAAAGTAAGTAATTATCCTTGGAGTATTTTCATTTTCCAAGCATCAAATCCCAATTCAAATGAACTGTGACATTTTAGACATTTGTAGTTTGAAAGGAGTCAGGTGCATATTTTTTAAAATAGGTACCAGCAACCCCAATCAAACCCAAGTGGCTGTGAATTCTTCCCATGTAAAATGTTTTAGAAAAACTGGGTGTTTCTGTTCTGCTCTTCTTGTTTATTTTTATCCTTGTTGTCTCCTGTTTTCCTATTAGCACCTCACTATTGATGTGAGCTGAAACTCCAATACTTTGGCCACATCATGCGAAGAGTTGACTCATTGGAAAAAGCCCTGATGCTGGGAGGGATTGGGGGCAGGTGGAGAAGGGGACGACAGAGGATGAGATGGCTGGATGGCATCACCAACTCGATGGACATGGGTTTGAGTAAACTCCGGGAGTTGGTGATGGACAGGGAGGCCTGGCGTGCTGCGATTCATGGGGTCGCAAAGAGTTGGACACGACTGAGCAACTGAACTGAACTGAACTGAACTGATTGGTGTGGTGGTAGAGGATATTTAGGAAGCAGTTCAAATCCTTCTTCCCTCCTCCCTTCAACCTGTACCAAGTCTGTGCTCAAGGCACACACATGAAAACATCCACTGAATCCTTAATAATCTATCAATAATCAACCAACCCAATTACTAAGGCTCATGTATTTTTGGTACTGGGTGTTTGCTGTAATTTCACACACAGGACAGAATAGGGTGTACTCACAGGAGAGTGGGTCACACTGATTTGACTGGAACAGGTGTGTATACCAAAATAATGGGTGGTCATCCTTGAGAGGCAGGTTGGGATTAGATCAAATATCATTTTGACCAAGTGGACTCGGAAGATTAGATTACCTTGAAGAGACAATGAGAAATATCTCAATGTTCCTGAAATAGTGTCACTGCAAGTGTGTTTTTAGAAAAGTAGCATATTGAAGGAATTGGAGGGGCAAGGACTAGTGATTAGGAGATAATACAGTAGATACACGTATAAGGGAAGGAGGCTTTTAGAGGTGGGAGAGAAAAAAAGAGGGAAAAAAAGGGGATGGTCATTACAGAGCAAGAGAAAGAATTATTACCCCAAATAAGCATTCCTTCTGGGATTCTCACTGTGAATTTTCCAGCACTGACCTCAAGTAAAGGACTTTCTACAGTAGTCAAACCATGTTATGTTGTTGGCAAACATTGTGAGAAACTAGGACATATATAGTTCATTCTCCCTGTAGAGAATGAAAAGAAGCAGAGGCTATTTTCCAGGCTCAAGAAATTTCTAGACTCCAGGAATTGGTGACGGACAGGGAGGCCTGGCGTGCTGCAATTCATGGGGTCGCAAAGAGTCGGACACGACTGAGCGACTGAACTGAGCTGAACGGAATAAAAAGGAGAAAAACTATACCAACTAACTTCAAAAATTTTAAAAAATGTATAAAATCAAACGCAATGTTATCTATGCTGTAGGGTTTCCAAAACAACAAAAATTACTCTGGGTTGAAGTGGAAATAAACAAAGAAGATTTCACAAGAGAAGAAGCAATGGTACTGCCCAAGGGCACTGGGGTTCTGACAGCCAAGTGGGCACTGCATTCAGTTCTCTGAGCATCACTGGTTCCACTTTGTCTCCTCCTTCTATCGCAGACAATTCTGCCTTCTCCTTCTTGCACCCCCTTCCGTTGTTAGACCTAGTAAGAGAAACTCCCAGGAAACGAATACAATTTCACTTCCTGCCTTGCAACAAGCTGGAATCTTTCTCCACAGGATCAACTTGCCAAAAGAACTGGTAAAGACAGAAATTCCATGACTGAGAATCAGTGGGAAAAGAAATGAGAGATGGGAAAATATCATGGTGGTTTTTTCACGTGCCTGCCATGCACCAGGTACTGTGTGAGGCTGGGGGATCCACAGCAATAGTGAGGAATATGTTAAATGAGATCATTGGGACCCACTGCAGAGATTACAGACTTTACCAGTGAGATTATAGATGGGGTGAAAAGAAAG